CCGTATGTTTGTGTATGCTCGCTTCCATGAGGGAGGAATTGATGTGAGCAGCAGCAGCCGCCGCGTGAGAGTTCCAGCCATGTCGAATAAGTAACAGGTAGTGGAAGCGGCGAATTGCATGCAGTAGGAGCTCGTCTGTAGTCATTGCCTCACAGAACAACCTAATGTTCCGTGAGTACACCGCTGGTGTGTGCCAGAGCCCATTTGAATGGCAGAGATCCCTCGTAGCTTTTAGTGGCCACTAAGGGTGCTCCCCTCCGGAAGTGGTTCAGCGGCGAATGGAAGTGACAAGACCTTCGCCGAACCTTCCTCTCCCCATCGCTATGCTTCTCGGCGGTCAGCGAGCGTAGGTATCGACTCCGTCTGAAGCTTCCCCGATCATCCGCTCACGACCACAAGGACCAAGCTAATAGAGGTGGAAACTCAGCTCAGCATTCAAGAACGCTCAGCGAAAGCGCTTCTGTTACTCGTAGGGAGCGCGACAAGGGTCCGGGGTCAGCCGCTGCGGCCCAAGAAGATGAGCTTCCCTTCTTCGCCTTGAGAATAATTTCCATCGGAAATAAGAACACGGTACTTATTGGAAACGTCAAGCCGCAGTCAAGCAAGAACGGGATGAGCTCTATATTGATCCGAGTGACCTTGAGGAACACTCGTTCCAGAGCTGAACTCGTTCCACCCATTATTCCCGCTCTATCGATCGAGTACAGCGAAAGAAGGAAACCCAAAGAAACGGATAATTCTCATCAACCATCGGCATATGTGCTCAAAACCGACCGACCAGGAGAATTTCCTTCCTCCGCAGATTCGTCAAACTCACGAAAAAGACGAGAATCATCGGAGATGAGGAGAAACACTTCTCGAAACGAGAGAACGGGGAGCTCTTCTGTACTTATCCTCTGTTTGGATCAAATGAATTTCAACATGAATATCCCCATATGGTTCTAGCAGGAACGGATCGAGCTCAGTGGACTTAGATAGCGATCGGCACCCGTTGTTTCCCTCGCAAGGTATTGGCCTCCTGCGGCGTCACGCGGGATCTTCTCCCTCTTCCGCCGCGCGAGCTCGCTACGAGCCGCCGATGAAAGCTCTGGGGATAGTGGAAATTAATACAGACGAAGTGCGTGACGACAACGGCAACGTGAGACGGCTCTCAAGGCCGTAGCACCAGCTGACGGAGTACCATGCAATCGGCGTAAGGATCGGCACCGGGAGCTGCAGCACATATGGCTCGGGCACGAACTACGGATGCGCTGCTGACAACACTCAGTCAGAGTTGCGGCTCGGACAATGCTCCTGCCGACCTACCTATCTGGGATCCCGAGAGTGAAATTTCGGCAGGACACCCCCGTCGAAACTACCTATTGCACCGCTAATCATGGATTGAGCATGGATCGAGGAGCTGCCGGACGACGACCGACTTTGTTCTCCACGATATCTGCGGAGCCCGTACAGGCAGAAAAATGACGAATTCTCTCTCCGATTTCCGCTTGAAATCATGTGGTCTTTCAGCTGTCCCAGGCTCCGGTTCCCGGCGAGACAATCCTCGGATTCCATCGGATGATTCGCTGGAAAACGAAAAGGATAGAACCCGAGCTGTGAGACGGAGGATTCACGTTTCGTACCGTCAGACTCTACTTTGTCGACCGACAGCGGATCCCCGTAGCTACAAATGGGAATTGTGTCAGCCAGCGCAGGATTTCGCGTTCTCCCCTGCGGCGACGACTTCATAAAACTGTGACTGCGTCCCACGACCAAAAACTGCGTGAAAGTGAAGCCGACGACTCCTTGTCAATCTCTCTACTATTCGCTCATAAGCTCCCCTGCTCTCCGGGCCGCCGACGGAGAACAGAGTTGTCGACTCATCAAGCGCGCTCACAAGCACCGAGTCGGATACCAGGGGTCAAGAATAAAAACAAGCGAAATTCCCTGGGGTGATTAATCTCCCGCTACCGACAACGAGTCTCTGAGTGGTCTGAGTGCGATTCCCACTGGCATCACCAATCGGACGTCTTAAGGAGATTCTATCTCCCTTAACATTCGGAAGCTTCCGATAGTCCGAGCTGGGCTGTGTGAACCAGAACTCAGGATTCGACTGGACACAACAGGCCGGCTACAATTCGAAGCCCAATTTGTCACGCGTCGGCTCCCCTGAGACCGAACTCAATATTCCCGTGCTTGAATTGAATCCCAGCGCTCCGAATAATCGCGCCGACTCCATGCGGAATCGGAACAATAGCCCGCACCTCCCCATTCTTTCCTGGCTCCTCGCTGATTCTGGAGAATATGTCTTGAGTCCGAGCGGACCGTCGGAGGGAATCTCGGAGAAACGAGCGTTCGGAAACGTAGTAGCGGTGCTCGTGGAAAAACGTTCAGCCTCCGCGCAATGGAGCGCTGAATGGCGCGGTTCCATCCCGAATTTTCGCACTCAAGCACGTAAGCCGATTATTATCGACAAGAGTATTCCTTCTAAACTGTGAAAAGCTTCGTCCCCGAACTGGTCGAATCAACAATGCCGCGAGACAGAGGAATTCATCGAACGTCCTTCGGGGCGCGTGAGATTCGGTCGGCGCTACTCGGCAGAGATCGTCCACTACACCCGTCGGTATACCTATGGACTACAGCCAAGGACGAAAATGAACAATGCCGACACAACAGTTGGCAATAGCAAACCAATCAACAAACGAGCAAGCCGTCAGAGGGCCAGGCAAGCGGTGAAACGTCACCGGAAACCGACTCTGACCCGTATCGCCGTAAGTAGGTTATTTATTGACCTCCCTCAGGTTGATGGTCACCCTGAGTCCGGCGACGCGAGATGCTCCGCAGACTTCGCCGAGTGCCAGATGGGCGAGCTCTTGCATCTTGTCCGAAAGGCTCGGTGACTGGATGAGGTGAATATTCTCGTGGAGTCATGGGGCTCCGCTAGAAATCCTCCAGTTCCCGCGACGGTGCCTCGCCGGGGCAGCCTGCTAGCCAGGTAGTTGCCCCACTAAGCTGCGAGCTAAGCGAATCCTTAGTTCGATATAGAGCCGAGGGACGGGCGAAGGAAACGATCGGGAGACGGCTGGACGTCGGGCTCGTCGGTCGGCGGGTACCGGAGCGAGGAAGCTGGGCCGGGGTAAGCCTGCCTGACTGACTGAATGGACAGCAATAACTCTGGCATTCTCCTATCCCTAAACGTGATGCAAAGCCGGTCGGGGAAGCTCTACGTTTGAAATAAACTACAGCAAGTGCTTAAGCTTTAATCAGGATAGAGTGTTTATTGCCAATGACCTCCACGTCGGCTCCTTGCGAAGATTCAGCCCGAGGAAACTGGACTGGAGGAGAGGACAGCAGCCACACCGAGTGAGACGGGACCAAGAGAGAGCTAAACCGCCGGTCTTCGTGCCATATAATCGAGAGGGACACGCGACTCGCGTTCGGTTACGTTACCGGCTGGTGGCTAATTATGATTCGCGAGGACCTCGACCGGACCCCTCTTGATACCTTCTACAAGCTCATTCTCCTCGCCTCTCCCGTTCACGTAATGACGATCTCCGTCTGGCATGTTTCATCGTCTGTCGTCAAGCTCCGCCGTGACCTTTACGCACTGGTGGAGACCCGCACTGGGCACCTCGGGGCGGACCGTACGATCTCTAGACGTTTCTGACGCAAAACTCGTGCATCCAGCACTCCTGAGTGAGATGAGAGAATCGCAGTGATTTCTGCGCAGTCAAATTGACCGCGTGGAGAGTCTGACTTGCAACGAGCGACGGCGAGCTGCGGTGCTCCAGCAAATGTGTTTTGACTTTCGGCTACTTCTGCTCTGAGGGACCTGCATCGCAAGCTCTATTTGGAACGAGCACAGGCGTCGGCATCCTTGTGCTATTTGGGAAACGCGCCGGAAGCGCTCCAAAGGAATAGCCGCGGAGGATAATCAGGATTTTCGTCGTTATCCTTGCAGTCTATGTGCTTTTAGATGCCGGGAATAAAAGTTTTCTATACAACCACCGCTTCTGTAGGTTCGTCTACTGGACTCACTGTCGCTCAAATCCCACGTAGGAACCAACCCGGATTCTGAGGAGAGCAAACTTATCCGAACCTCACGATTCTCTCCGCAGAATGAATAGGAAGCTGACGAGAAATCTCCGTCATCAAGGAAGCAGCGACCGTGAAGCAATCGTGGATCCGGTTCCTGCTATTTGTGTCTCGGAAGCAAAGGTCAAAAACCAAGCAGAGCGCCAGGCAGCACCTCTCGACATCGTATTTTTTTCGATTGAGCTCAAGCGTCCAGAGCCGACCGGCTTCTCCTGTCACATACTACCTACTATATTAGTGGTTGGGAAGGCGGCGGCGGCTCTCCTTAATCAGTGGATGGTCTTATTTCGGCTTACCAGCGAGCCTATTTCTCAGAGGTTTCTAATATATTAGCTTTCGCTGCAATGATAGACCTTTGTCTTGATCGGACATCTGGCCAAAACCCGCGGGAGACGGGTGGGCGATTCTTCAATCTATTTCACGACTCACATGCTGCGGGCTGTCCCAGAGCACTCCAGTGGAAGTCGGTTGCGATGTCCCGACGAAATTCACCGCTCCTTGTCGCAACGTGTCTCGAGTCAAGATGAAAAATCAAAAATTAATTCTCATGAATTCCTCCTCAGTTAGAATTAGTTCCCATTGCCGTGACTCTCGCTTTCGATCATCAACCCATGCGAGTCAGCTCGCGAAACTTCTGCAGCACAACGGCTTGTCGGAGTGAAGCTCGCCGGACAGATTGCCGCCTCGTCGGACGCCCAGTTTCGGAAACAATCCCGGCTGACAAATTGATTGCGGGAAAAATTGCTTCCGCGTTGTTCGGTCTGTAGCCGATCCACTTCTGATGTCTGTTCTCATCAGAGGGAACAGCTGCGACCGTCTGCAAAATGTCGCTGTCCGAGAGACACTCTGTTTTTCCGCAGAATTTTTGGCTGTCCATCCGCTGAATTTCTCCCTCTCTCCCTTTCCAGGTGAGCGGCCCAGAGGTAATGTCATCAGGGGATGGGGCGCTACTCTCCACTCCGATAACGGACTCGTTTCACTTGCTCATCCTCGACAGACACGTCGCGGCTACAGCTGCGAACAACTACATAGGTGAGTTTCTCTCGGCCCGTCTCCTTTTCCGACAACTCCCGCTGCATTCATGCTTCGTCACGCCGACGTTGCCAGCTATCTCCGGGTGGCTCCGAATCGGGGTGCCGGCTACGGGAATCTTACGGCGCGGCGCGAAGTTCTGATTGCACGCGTTCTTCCCTATTGCAGTTAACGTCTCAGTCGCACAGAAGCACAACACCATACCACCTCCGGGCACAGCGTTGAACCATGCATACGGAGTCGCCTACCCCAGGACCCCCACGACATATAACGTCCCGTATCAAAGTGCGTATCCGCAGAACGCCCTCTCGAACCTGGTCCTGTACGGCATATTGTCGGTTCTTGGGACGACGTGTAATATCTTCGAGATCTCCACCCTAATCGTTCAGGAGTGCCTCCGACGGAGAGGCAACTTACTATTGGCCAATCAAGCTCTTGCAAATTTGATAATCACGGCCGGCTCGTTCCCCATAACGTGCGTAGCGATTCTGGCCATAGCACAAGATGAAAAATACGTCTGCCATGCGCAGTGGTTTTGCGCGCTAATGTCTTTTTTCGTGAACATCTTCAACTTCTTGTGCATTGCGTTAGAGAACTACGTTCGTTCGTGCCGGCCCGAGGAGATGGTCGAAGAGGGCGCCGAGTTGGGCGATCGACGGGTGTTGCCCATCGTAGCGACGCGTCCCGGTGAATTCCGCGGCGTATACCGAACCCTATGTGCCTCACCTGTCGTAGTTTTACTGACGTTTCTGTCGTGGGGACTCGCGGCTGCGTGGTGTCTAGTTAGTTTTTATGTAACGCAGGGCCTGGACATGTGCAACAACGATCTTCGGCACAGCGAAATGCTACTGACGTTGGCGGCCCCGATAGCCTTCAGCATTGTGGTTTTCGCCAAGGCCGTCAACGAACACCGCGACTTTACAATACATCTCGAGCTTCGAAACTGTTCGGCGACTCGCGAGCAAATCCTGCAGCGGCGCTTGTTGCGCACGAATTTCACTGCCTTCCTACTATTCGTCTTGTGCTGGCTGCCGTTCCTCTTATGCGTCATCCTCAAGCCGAGCCTGGAAAAGTCTGCCATTCGTGACAATTTGTTTTTCGCTGCCCAGAGTTATTCAGTCGTGTGCCCTCTTGTTTACGGAACGACCCACGACGCGTTCCGTCAAGGTTTCGTGTACCTCATCCACTACTTCTGTTGCAAATCTCATCCCGAAATCCCGAAGCCACCCGTGGCTCCCGACGATCGACAACGAACCACCGTCCGGGTGGGAATGCGCATGGTGGAGACCAGGAGGGCACCCACCAGGGGCACCAAAATGTCCACGATGGGACTACTAAGCTTCGCAGGTGGATCCGAAGTGAATAGAATGCGATACGAAGAAGATTTCCTATAGCGGCTTCAGATCGAGACTTGCCTAATCAACAAATTACCGCCTTGAGCCCCGGGGGGGACCGGCTATAGCGAGAAGAAGTTTATCTGAACTACGAGACTTCCCATGCCTTTACAGAAGATGAAGAAGTTTGCACACAAGACGGAGTTTGTAGCTTACATCGGAAACCGCTTGGGCTCGAAAAGAATTCGAATCCTAATCCCGTGCCTCTCACCCCTCTCTCTTCATAAGTCTCCGAGGGGAACAAGCAACAAATGAAAGACTATCGGAGGAGCGACAAGGGCCGCAATCAACAGGTTCCCTGTCGGTCGATAGAAGGAGCGCGCTCGCACCCCGATCTATCTGGTGCAGCAGAGCAGAGCAAGAGTTCAGAGTACGGACCGCCGTCCAGTCAGTTTTGGAGCAACGGCATCGATACTCGGAAGGAAGAACGAACGAGGCAACGTGGAACAGCGGACGATGAGAAAGCTCAGTACAAAGTAGGCCAAACAGCTTCCTCGACTTCAGAATTATTGCATCAGGCAACGCGTACAAACTCGGAACCAGAGAACTTAGTCAGTCGGAGCAAAGAGACAGCCGTCGCGCGCTCACAGAACGTCGAATGGAGCGCCGCTGAATCGAATGCTGTAGAATCATGAGCGATCCCAGCTGATGGCACCGGCTCCCTGCGACATATTACGATTATCTTCTAGTCATTTCCTTTTTCGACACGGCTTGATGGGATCGCTGCCTCACGACGCGTGATAACGTGAACAGGAGAACACCGAAGAGGAAACAGCCAGGAACGGCGACCAGCAGCAAAAACTATAGAGCGAATATCTAATTGGTTGATGATGCAGACGCGAGTCGTTTAATCGCCGTCTGATCATCCTCATCATCGCCTAGACAAGCGAGTGCTGCTCGCTCGTACAGAAGACCAAAAAAATGCGACGCAGCGACCGAATAAGGTCGGTCGGGGATTACGACAAGATGAGAGGGCGACAAATTCCTCTGATTACCCTGTTGGCGGGAGGGCGAGGCATTTTTTCTACTGTATCCGGTTTACTCGCACTTCGCGACAACAGTTTGTGTTCATGAGATTTTGACAGCGGACGCCCAACTATGCGGACAGGAGCAAGTACAGAGAAGTTATCTTGAGGAGGAGAAGGAATGATGGACAGCGAATTATTCACTGGATAATCCCCTAATGCTCCGCAGCGCGAGTCGAACTCACGGGTGCTGGAAGTGATTTCTATTCTGCTGGAGACGGGGAGTTTTAGATAGAGTTCCATCGAGCGTGGGAGTGCAACGCTGAATACAATCCGGAACTGTAGGAGCGATGAAGGAGCGCGGACATCGTTGTGTTTTCCCCTTATTTCGAGTGCCCGTCATTCTCCCAAAGGAGACATTTATCATCGAGAATCGAAATCGGGGGAGGGTTGTCGTGGAACGAAGACGTTCACGATGTGGCGGACCCGCACCCTCGAATCGCAGCTTGGCCCGGAGCTCCCCGCCAAGCGATTCCATATAGTGCCTCGAAAATAGCGTTCATACCGGTACATTCATATTGTATCCATGAAGTCTTATACATATATACAAACCTAGCGACGAGCTTGCCTGCATGATTGGATGAATGCATAGATGAATGTATGGATGAGTTAAGAAGATGAAAACGGTGAGGTAAGGTGAGCTGCAGCGACGCCTCGCCGTCGATACATCATTCTAGGAGTGATTTGAGGAGAGAAAAAAATCGTATGAATACCGTGAGCCATGACCTGAGTTCGTCACGTAACATAGGAACGCGGAAAATCTGCATCGATTCACGCACGTGTACGCAAGCATTCAGATTATTATGTAGTCGGAAGTATTTCTAGAGAAACTCGGACCTCCTCTGACCGTGTACGTTTGTACGTTGTCGGAGCCAATGCGCGCTAAACGACTTGATCGAAGGCTTCCTGCTGGGCTGGATACTCTTACTAGCTAGCATAGTAGCCTGCCATTGTAACACACTTAAGACGTTATTATTTATTACTGATGATGATATATAATTGCAACATCGGCTATTCTTGAAATACAAGCAGACTGTGTGCATGCTTCGATGTTTATGCATGCATGCCACAGCTGATGGGCAACTCCGTCAGTGAGTAGGGTTGGAAAATAATGTAACTACAGACGAGGCCGCAAATTTTCCTAGAAGCGTCTTTCGCATGTCAGGTTCGTCGTTCGTCGCGACCGAGCATCTGAATGATCTGAATGCAAGATACCCACTTATACCTGCCGGGGAAGTTTTGCTCGGAGCAAGCGTTCCTCTTCCCCACTCCAGGCATTCCCCCAGCAATGGATCACAGATGATCATTGCGCTTCAATTGGACCTCGATCACAACAAGCGCCTTTCATGATGAGCAATCTCTGGTATCACAGATCATATCGCTCCGCTGAGGATGAATTTATCATCGATGGGTAGTTCCCCATCGACGTGAGCCTGAGTGACTGAAGTATGGGTAATGGGCCGATCAATGGACCAATGATGTGAATCCCAATGAAAGCACCAGTTCATGGGGACGTCGAGCCTGGACTCCGGGTCTGCTCTATTTACAAGATCGAGGCCCTCTCGGTGAAGGGATACAAGCAGTCGAAATGAGAAATCAGGACCAGCTTTCCTGAAGATGAGTCACTCATGGACTCTGATATAATTTTGAGGTGCTGAGTGAAGAGGAGCGGGCTACTCTGAGCCTCGTTTTCGGACCAATTTGCTATGATGAACAGTCTTATAACCCTCTCAACCCAATCCTGCACGCGCTCGGCTGAGAGGTGAGGAGCGACCTTTGGGCCTTTCGGAGCGGAGCATCATTATCATGTATTTCGCCCATCTTCCGGGTATTCGGAGATTTCTTGACGTGATGCGTCGGACTTTCAAGGAACTTACCGACCTGAATTGTCTCGATTCAGAGTACCAAGTCTAAATTCGATTATCATTCGCCTAGTCCGACCCAATCTGAAAATTCTACCACGTGATTCCCCGAACTCCATCCCGAAATAGTCGATGAAACCTGTGGAATCGCTGACTCCTGCCTCAAGATGAGTCTGATGTTTCTCTCGCGGTTTCGGCATTCGATTCTTGTTTGTATACACATTCGATATTTCTTCCCTTGGCAATCCTGGCAGCCTGGACTCGCCCACAATCATCGTTCCACGTCAGAATCACGCATGACTGAGCTGTCGACACCCTGCGAAGGGAGGTTCGAGTGAGTTATGATTCATAACTCATTGATCAGATCAATAAAACTCATTGATCAGTTCTTCGCAAAGCCACCACACAGCCCGTGCATGTTGGCTGCATCCAAAGATCGACTCTGCTCGGCTCCGTTTCTTCACCTGAGTGCCTGCTTGCCTGCTTACCGGTGTGCCCGCAACGGATGTCCCCGTAAGAATGTCCATACCCAATCTCCACAAATCAAGTAGGAACTCTTTCGTTCGCATCATCTCGTAGAAAACAGAAATTGTCGAGCCTCAGTTCTGTTTCGCTACGAAGTATCCTCGCGAGGAAGAAGAGGGAATCACCGCCTCACTCGGTTTCGCTGACCTCGGATTGGGTAGACACGGGGAAGAATCATTCGTTTCCGAAAAGAAGATGCGACGCTCCGCACGGGAAAATCTTCACTCGCTCCGATGAGATCGTTTATTATTTGAAGACAAATATATGTAGAAGCTCGCATCGCAGTCCGGGCATTTCTTATGCTAGACGTCGTCAAGGCGAGTGCAAACGAATCCCTTTCCTCTATCTCTTCGAACCACTAGCAGGGAAGCGACCGACGACTGAATGATAAAAGAATCCTAACAACCCAACAAACTTAACTTGGAAGCGGCTAGATTTTCTTGTGGAAAGGATTTATAGGACTTCGTACTGCAATGATTATGCGAGAGTTATTACTAAGATGATGAGGTCGATGCGGTACTGACATTGTTGCTATTGCTATAATCAAGTCCCAAGACAATGATTATTGTCAATATTGAACCGGACGGTGAAAACGACGTTGACGATAGAGTTGTATCCTGACTGAGGATGAATAATAAAGCGTAATACATGAGCACCACTATTTGTAGTTAAAGAAACGGAGTCACTCATCATTCTACGACGGAACGCATATATCATTCATTCGATCATTCATATGTTTCCTGTAATTACCGAAGGCATTCAAATGGCAAGGTCAAGAAGTAGCTGCTGTTCCCACTCTCGAAAGTATTCTCGTTTCACTGCGGCTCGCCGCCGGAACTTCACGAAGACCTGACCACGAAGATCTTCTCTAGACTGTGCCTCATTGCGTTGATCACCCTCTCGCGAATCCCCTTCCCTCTCTCAAATGCTCCTCCGAATTCGCGAGGTCAGAGACTCAGTCCCAGGGACTGCTCAAGTGTCCAAAGGGAGTGCGTGTCCTTATATTATGCGTCGTTCAATTTCGACGGTTGCTGCGTTCTCGCTATTTGCTGCACAAACACCCGGACTCGATGTGGCTCGTATATTACAAAGACTCCCCTCAGTTCTCCGTCGGAATAAAGAAATTGTGGAGAGGATGGGATGGAAGTGTGTCGACGGGGGCGCATCTACTACGTATACCACGGAAAGAGAGTCGTGCTAGCTCTGGTACGCGGGATTCTCCAACCGAAGTCTTCAGAACTTACTATTGGACTGTAATGATCATGTGCAAGAGAAGGCCGAACTGGATATCCAAAATTTTTGGAAGGGGCCATCTTGAGTGGGTTGGTTTTCGTCCATAGGATAGTCAGATGGGGGAGGATTCGAGGCCCGCGTTTTCCATCGGAGAAAGAGACGCCCTGAATTGGAATGCTGTTCGGCCGATGAATTCATAGCGTACAGCTTTCTTGTCATCTTGGAACATTTCAGAATGTCTCAGAGTGAGGCAAGCCACAATTGTGTTTCGAAGAACACATAAGACGGACCAACGCCGGGATATTCTTGGTCAGACCGTTGAATTCGCACGAAGGCTTTGCCGCGTGGGTGCTTC